CCAACCGTTCCTCCCAAAGCACCCACCACCTCTCTCCTGGGTTCGATAATTCGCTGCAGTGGCCACACAGAACTCACAGATTATGGGGTTTATTAGGGAAGCACCAGGCTACAATTCAAGTTCAGGAAAAAATGCTCAGTTTCTCTCCCATCCCACCGTCTCTCAGCCAAGTCTCTCACAGTCTCTCCCCCCAGAAGTGCATGTGCCTCGGTGTCTTACTCAGCAATGCGTGTCTCAGGAGCCCATGTTTCTTTCAGCAGAACGTCTTCCCCAACCAGCAGTCAGAGAGCATTCTGCCTCTAGGGGGCCTCCTTTTGAGCCCGGCAGAGTGACCAAACTATCCAATCATAGCATCAGAACTCTAAACACGTGAGAGAGAGTGGGAACCTCCCAGAACATTGTATTGTGCCACACCCAACAGAAATAACCCAGGTGGATAACATTTACAATCAAGAGCTTCTCAGTTGCTCATTCCACCACTGAGTTTACAATGACTTATGGGTAGAAAAGCCATATTAAGTAATTTACTACATTGCAACTACATTAGTGGCTCTTAAGTCTCTTTGAAATAAGTATTTCCCAATAGTTGAATGTTGGTGGATTTGTATGTATACTGCTTCTACTTATCATTTTTAGGATAATTTTATTCTTAACCATTTCAAAATATTTTGGAAATTAACAGATCATTTGCTAAATATTATGCTTATTGGTAAAATAGTCTTATTCTGTTGTATTAACTAGACACAAAGGAATACATACAGGAATATTTCTTCATCCAGAAAGTGCTGGACTCAAATATATTTCTATGCCTGATTCTGTCTCATTTTTTTTTTCCATTGAACAGCTGATAAATGGCATCTAAATAGATAATGCAGTTTTCAAAAGGCAAATGATTTGCTTTCTCATTAATGTCTGAATGAGAGATATTTGTTAAGTTCCTGTACATCCTTTGAGAGAGACTATAAGCCAAAAGAGACCTTTGGAAGTAAAGAATCTCTGTTATGCAAATATTTCCAATCTTTATATTCAGTTCTTATTGGTCTTTGCAAATGACTTTAAGCAACAAATATAAACTTGATGTTCTGTTTCTGCATAGTAGCACTTAGGTAGGCTATGTGGCGTTTTATCATAGAGAACCATAGATTATGCATTAAATAAATAGGAAAATATTGAAATCGCTTTAACCTTTCAGAGAGTGCTGTGACTAGATGTTCTTAGATATGCAACAGTATCCTTCTTTCCAGAGGTCATGTTCAGTTCAACACAATTTCTATTGCTATTTATTTTTGCATTATTTTCTCCAATATTCCTTTTCAGTGTTTTCTGCGTTACTTAGTTTTACAGATCTCATACAACTCCGGAAGAGCCATTTTCTAATCTTTAGATCCTTCAGAAATAATAAACTGACATTGCATAACCATTGAGGGAAGTATTTTTTTTTTTCTGTTTCTTTTCCTATGGCAAACGTCTATTACAGACAAAGCTTAATTGTTCCATTGAAACCCCAGCGTTGAAAATAGTCTTTTTCTCTCCTTTCTTTGTGAAAAAGGTTTTCATTTGATTTGGGGAAAGGTGTTACATTTCAGGATTACAGAAGTTCCTATTAATGTTGTGTCCCCAGGAGAAGCATGAGCATTTGGAAGGTGTCTAAATTCAGATGAGTGGGATCTCATGGCCTGGAGGTGTTAAAACAAACTGACCCCTCATTATTTTGTTCGCACTCTATATAATCTTTATAAAGCACAATATTGTTAACTCTTGTATCTTTCTTCATTCACTCATGTTTGGTTTAGTAAAGAACAGTTTTCTGAATTTTATTCATTTTTAAATCCCAAGTGCCTAGGAAATCACATGACTTAATAAATGTTTGCATAAAGTAAATGCACTCCTATTTTTACACATATGGTTTATCTATCTAGTTAGATAAACTAGTTTCTAACAGCAAAGTACTTCTTACATACTTTCTCTCACTATTATCCCTGAAAATAAAAATTAAAGTTAAATTATTATAGGAGACATAGAATCATTAAGACTATCTGTAAAATAGATACCTGGAATATTTTCAAAATAATAAGCTTATCAATTGCACCCATGATCTATTACAGTATATTTGTAATGAATTTGATTACAATTTATTATAATTTGCCTTTTCATTTATAGGCATTTTGTAAGAAAACTGCCTGAAATTAAACTTACTTTTCAATCAATAAACAAACAATTTTGAGTGTTTACTATGTGTACTTATAGTGCCAAGTACTAACCCTCCTGCTGGGAATAGATATGGCACTGAGCAAGAAGATGAAATCCCTGCCTTCATAAATAGTACATTCTAGAGGAAGATGGCATACCATAAACATATAAACAAGTGCACACAAAAAAAACAGGTAAGATAAGAAGTACTTTGTCAAGAACTAGTAAGGTAATTGGGTGGAGAGTATGTGAAGCTAAGTAGATTAGGTTAGCAGGAGGAGTTCCACTGATGATACTGGATCTGAGGCCTGAATGACAAGAAGGAACCAGATGTGAAGATTTAGAAATTGATTTGGATTCAGCAGATGGTGAGGAAGAACATTTGGACTGAGACTGGAGTGACAGAAAATGATCAGCCAGACAAATATCAGAAGGAAGAGAATTCCTGGAAGAGGATATAGCTTCTTCTAGAGCTGGA